CGGGCGGCGCTGACGAGCCTCTCCCCCAGACCAGGTGTTCGGCTGCGCGCTGGCCGCGCTGTGCGAGCGCGAGAGGAGCCCGGTGCCGCGCTTCGTGCAGCAGTGCATCCGCACGGTCGAGGCCCGGGGTATGCCCGGCGGTGGGCGGGCATTCGGCACGGGAGGGCATCCTTGCAGGACCGCGGGGTGGAGACCCCGGGTGAGCGCAGGGTCCAGGAGGACGAGGAAGGAGGGGGCTCTGAGTAGGCATCACGCCACCCACCTGACCCAGGCTCGCGACGCCTCCTTCTGCCGCAGGGCTAGACACCGACGGGCTGTACCGCATCAGTGGAAACCTGGCCACCGTCCAGAAGCTGCGCTACAAGGTGGACCACGGTGAGGCTCGCCCGGGTCCCTGCCCCAGGGCCCGAGGGCGCTAAGGGGTGCTGACTGCCTTGGTGCGCTCTCCCCCCACCGCAGATGAGCGTCTGGACCTGGACGACGGGCGCTGGGAGGACGTCCACGTTATCACCGGAGCCCTGAAGCTTTTCTTTCGAGAGCTCCCTGAGCCCCTCTTCCCCTTCTCGCACTTCCGACAATTCATTGCGGCCATCAGTGAGTCCTCACTAGGAAGTGGGGCGGATTTGGGATAGGGGACTCTGAGTCTCCCTGCCCTCCCTCCCCGGTCTGACTCCCTCCCTACCCGGTCTGACTCCCTCCCTCTGGCCCTTCCTTTCCCCAGAGTTGACGGATCAGGCCCAGCGCAGCCGCTGCGTGCGTGACTTGGTGCGCTCGCTGCCCGCTCCCAACCACGACACGCTGCGGCTGCTTTCCCAGCATCTGTGCCGGTGAGCTGGCGGGCAGCGCGGGGATGTGCTGGGAGGCAGGGCCTGGCAGGAGCCCGCACGCCACCCCCCGGCTCTGGGCCCTGACTCCACCCCACCCGCCACAGGGTAATCGAGCACGGCGAGCAGAACCGGATGTCGGTGCAGAGCGTGGCCATAGTGTTCGGGCCCACGTTGTTGCGGCCCGAGACGGAGGAGACCAGCATGCCCATGACCATGGTGTTCCAGAACCAAGTGGTGGAGCTCATCCTGCAGCAGTGCTCAGACATCTTCCCGCCACACTGACCGTGGACCTGAGACGTGGCCGCTCACCGTGGTCCCTGAACACTAGCAGGGCGGCTGGCGGCCATGCGGCTGGGCTTTCTCTCTCAGACCCTGGGCCTCTGCAGGCCGGTGTAACTTCTGTACCCTTCGGTTCCGAGGGTATGGTGACCTCTGGTGGGCAGTTTGCAAAATGTGATTTTTCCCTGGCACGTCCTGTTTGGGGAGTTCATTAGATTCTGTGCTTTGTTGCAGCGCCGCCTGCTGGGCGTGTGCGAGAATGTGTGCGTTTGGGGTGAGGGTTTGTGTTCTGGGACCGCCGGTACTCAGGAGGAATTTGGTGCGGAGCTTCCTGATTTCTTCAGGCCTTCACCTGCCGGAGACCTTCCCGGAGGCGCCATGGGTCCCGGCCCTATGCCGGTTAGGAAGCAGCTTCAGGCAGTTTCCATACCGCCAGATCAGGAATGATGCCGCCCAGCAGGGCAGCCACACCCGCTTTCCTCAGGCCCTCTCACAGGCTCGCTGTGGTCGGTTTCATTTGTTTTCCTGTTTGGAGTTCCACCTCTACCCTCCCTGGTCCACCTGTGTTCTGTGCAAGGGTTCTTCACAGTCACTAAAGAGTACCCTGCACCTGCCACTTGGCAGGCATCATCGCAAACGGTCCCATTTTACAGGTGAGAAGACCGAGCTTGCAGAGGCAAAGTGCCTTGCTCAGGGTCCAGTGGTTAATCTGCCTCCCCAGCAAAGGCTCCTCCCCCTGGAGCTGCCCCCTTCCCCGTCTCCAGCGTAAACCTATGGGCTAGGCACAGGACTTGAGCTGGGGGTGCTCCTGAAGGCACAGAGGGAATGCACCCCAGCTGTTTCCTGGGGGAGAGGAAACAGCACTGCAGGACCCTCAGCCTCCCTCTGCACCCTGAATGTCAATATGCCTGCCTGGTGCCCACCTTGCCTTAAGAGCTGGAAAAGGCCTGCAGGATGGGGGTGGGAGGCTATACATGCAAGAAAAGAAGCAAGCATGAGCCCTGGTCAGCAGCCCCTCCCTAGCCCTCGTTATACACGAACCACCTCAACTGATGGATCTCAGCCCCACCCACCCATTCGAACAATAATAGCTGAGATATACTGGACATTTGCATCATGTGCAGCATTTTTCTTGGGTTATCCCATTTATTTCCTGCAGCCAATATTTATTGTCCCCTCTGGCCCAGGCTCTGGGCTGGTGCAGGGGTGCCGCACGTGCTGACCGCCTGGTGGAGCTGATGGTCTAGCGGGCAAGACTGACCAAGCCCAGCCCAACAACAGCAAGGCCTCAAATCATACATCAAAATATTTAAAAGTCATAAAGCAAGCTAACAACTATTAAATAAAATATGTTCTATTCTCCTATGCTGATGCATGTACTTTAGTAATGACCTGGAGGGTCATTGAGACCTCTTAGCCACACCCAAGTTCTGTACACAAATACACTGGCATGCAAAGAGCTAGCTCTGACCATCTGCCCACCTCTCTGGTCTTCCCACCCTCAGAGCAGTCCTGCCCCAAGGACACTCCAGTCCATGAGTGCAAACTGCCCATACCCTGCCTCCAGTGACCACTTGCCACCGCATTGGTGACACTGTCTAACGTTGAGGGAATGGGTCTAGGGCCATTTGGGCAAGGTGTTCTAAGGCCTCATATATCAGGAACGTGGTATAAAAGGACAAGTCTAGCCTTTAAGGGTCCCCCTAGATGCCTTGTCTTGGTAAGGTCCAGAATGGGGAGCCTGTTGAACCAGGGGACCCACAGCAGGGACTCCTGTCACCTGGCATGGAACCAGACAGGTGTTAAGCAACTGATGACTTGGCTAGCCACATTCGTACAAGTGCTGGGAAGATGCCTGGGGGGCTCTGATGGCTTGTCACAGTCACCAGAGACCCCAGATATGTCTGCAAAGCTCTGTTTAAGTGGAGCTGTGAAGGAGTCATGTGGGCAGAGTGACCAGAGGAGAGAACAGCAGGGCAAAGGCTCTGGGGCAAGAGGGTTTGTGGGGAGAAGGCCACCGTGATGAGATCCCAGAAAGCCAGTGGGCATGAGCACAAGGTAATGCTAGAGAGCTGCAAGAAACAGAACTGGCGGGCCTTACAGGCCTCACTGCATGGGGCTATGTAGGGACACTGCATCACCAGGACGAGGAGCTAGAGGGTCCTTGGTGAGGACATAAGAAGCGTCAGTTCCCCACTCCACCCCAGGCTCCTGGCCCTGCCAAGACCTCAGTGGGCAGATCACATAGCAGCTGGCAGAGCAGTCCCTGAGTCATGTTTTGTCACCAGGAGGAACTTCAGCCTGCAGACTAGTGTGTGCCCCAGAAGCCACTCTCTAAAAGGCCGCGTGCCCACCTGGTTGCTAAGCCCATGGACATGCCCAGCCTTTGTGTGAGTGGGTCTGTGCACTGCCCCTTGTCCTCTTTGAGACAGACACTGTTCTTTTGCCTGCAGTGGCTTGGGTCCTCTCCATCGCTCCACCCTCCCTTTCTCAGCGCCCCATCTTCTGCCTACCCTGTGAATGGTGATAGCCTCCAGGTTGTGCCCTTGACCCACTGCTCTCTCCCCTCCATCCATTCCTCTCTGGGCCTCAGTCGCTAAGCCTGCACACATGTTACCCAAATCTCTGTCACCAGCCCGCCACCCTATCCCGAGTTCCTAGTGCACGTGTCCACCTGTTTGCAAGATACCTCCCCGTGGATAGCTGCCAGACACCCCAGGTGCAATCGCCCCCAATGAAACTCCAGCCCTTCTCTCTAACCTCTCATGGCCCCTCCACTCAGTCCCAATCTTCTGGCTCCTAAATATTTCCTAGCTCTGCCCCGCCCTCCCTGGATGACCACAGTTGCAGCCTCTGAACGTGCTCGCTCGCTCTCCTCACACTGCATCCTCCACCCAGCAGCCATCCAACCACAGCACATCTGCGTTCCCTCCCGGCACATCTCCCACCTCTGCACATCAGCCATGACTGAGCTGATCGCTCCCAGCACCCTGCAGGCTGGTTCTTGTCTCGGTGCCTTAGGGCTGACGGGCCCCACGCCTTCCTCTCTTTGCCTGGCTAATTTTTCTTCCTCTAAGCCTCAGCTGGCACAGCCTCCTGCACCCACTCTCAGCTCTCTCTTGCATGTCTCCATCATCACACTTAGCTCACCCTGTGTAATCGCACTCCTGCATTCATCTCTTCCCATCGGGCCGTGGGCTGGCAGGAGGTTTTCAAGCTCTTCTGTGCCACAGCCTGTATGGTCACCTCATTCTTTTCCATTGCCAAGTAATAGTCCATTGTATGGCTATGCCACATTTTGTTTATTCATTCATCAATTGATGGCCATTTGGGTTGTTTCCACTTTTGGCTGTTATGAATAACACTGCTGTGGGAACCAGCAGTTAGCGTAATGGCTATGTCGCTGGACTCCCACGTAGTCGACCACGGTTCGCCTCCCGGACTTGGTGGCTTAAAAAATTCACGCCGGGCGCGTGTGTGTGCATGCCCAAGATCCCGAGAGGAGAATGGAAGAGAAGGGATTGCCGTGTGACCATCCCCCCTGGGGGGTGATTTCCTGCTTTCTGTCTCTGTCTGTCTGTCTGGTGAGTGCACACGCCCTATAGCAAAAACCTCTCAAAAAAAATAATAATAACACTGCTGTGAACCTTCATGTAAACGTTTTAGGTGGACATATTGTTAGTTCGGGCAGCCATAACAAAATACCATAGACTAGGTAGTTTAAGCAACAGATTTGTGCTGGGCTGGCCTGGCCTCAAAGTGCAGAGGTTAAGCACTGTGTAAAGGAAGCTAAATCCCACATGACTGACTGAGGTTCAAATCCTGGGTCTGACAACTTGATCCTTTTTTTTTCTTTTAAGAATTATTTTTATTTAACTTTATTTATTTGTTTTAATTTGACCAGAGAGGGACAAAGAGAGAGAGAGAGAGAGAGAGAGAGGGAGGGAGGGAAAGTGAGAAAACAAGCCACCAGGTCTAGGACTCGCACTGCAGTCAGTCACGTGGGAGTCCAACACCCTGAACCACCACGCCACCTGCCAGACCCAAGGATCTGGCAGCTTGAAAAACATAACCAGTTGCATCTGTGTGCACTCCCTAAATCCTGATGGGGTGGAGACATGAAAGGGGATTGCAGCATGACTGGACCCCATTGGGAGACGTCACTCTCTCTCTCACATGCATGAACTATCTGGCACTGAAAAAGAAACAAAAAATGGGCTAGTTGGTGGTGTGGTGGTTAGGGCAGTTGAGTGTCACATGGCCGACCGCGTGGATCAAGTCCCAGACCCGGCAGCTTGAAAAACACTCTGGGCACATACGTATGCATGTCCAAAAGGGGATGGAGAGAAATGAGGGGAGAGAGAAACAGAGGAGAAGGGATTGTGGCATGACCACCCCCATGTGAGATGCTTCCTTGCTTTCCCTTCCTTCCCAACCCCTACAAGTGCTCGCTGGCATATTAAAAAAAAAAAAAAAAAAAAAAGTAAAATAAATAAAACCCGAAACAACCAGAGACTTATTCCTCACAGTTCTGGACTCTGGAAGTTCATAGTCGGGTTTTCTGAGAGCCCTCTTTCTGACTTGCAGATGATCACCTTCCCTCTGTCCTCGTGTGACAGACACTGATAGAGCTTGTCTCTTCCTTTTCTTCCAAGGACATAAACTCACTTTTACGACCTCATCTAAACCTAATTACCTCGCAAAAGCGCCACCTCCAAATGCCATCACACTAAGGGTTAGGGCTTCAACAGAGGAATTTGGATACGGGGGCTTGAACATTCGGTCTGATGCACATTGGATATTTACCGAGGTGAGGACCTGCTAGATTATACGGTAATTCTCAGGTTCACCTTTTGAATATCCTCCAAGTTCCTTTCTACCAGCCATACCATTTTACATTCCCATCAGCCATTTGTGGGGATTTCCGTTTTCTCTCACTTTCTGCAACAACCAGTTCAGATCTTCATTCTCCTCGAACCCCCCGGCCATCCCCACCTTCGCTCTCTGTCCACGAATGAGCTGCCTCTCCTCACCGGATGTGATGGAAACGACGTTCAGCTATCGGGTTTTCTGAGAGCCCTCTTTCTGACTTGCAGATGGTCACCTTCCCTCTGTCCTCGTGTGACAGACACTGATAGAGCTTGTCTCTTCCTTTTCTTCCAAGGACATAAACTCACTTTTACGACCTCATCTAAACCTAATTACCTCGCAAAAGCGCCACCTCCAAATGCCATCACACTAAGGGTTAGGGCTTCAACAGAGGAATTTGGATACGGGGGCTTGAACATTCGGTCTGATGCACATTGGATATTTACCGAGGTGAGGACCTGCTAGATTATACGGTAATTCTCAGGTTCACCTTTTGAATATCCTCCAAGTTCCTTTCTACCAGCCATACCATTTTACATTCCCATCAGCCATTTGTGGGGATTTCCGTTTTCTCTCACTTTCTGCAACAACCAGTTCAGATCTTCATTCTCCTCGAACCCCCGGCCATCCCCACCTTCGCTCTCTGTCCACGAATGAGCTGCCTCTCCTTCACGGATGTGATGGAAACGACGTTCAGCTATTAAGCTCAGACCTCTCTCACCACACCCTCCCCAGCCTTCTTTCTCTGGAACCTCGGAGCAGATGTCTCTTCAGGGTATAAGCGATCTCCTCCATTCTGGGGGTGAGGGGGAGCCATCATCCCTGACCACTTCTCCCTCTTACTCATTTAACTCTGGTCTCAGGTTGAATGTCCCAGGGAATGGAGACAAGTGAGCAGGAAGCTTACCAGGTCCGCCCTCAGGCCCCCACCTGTGGGCCACGCAGACCGGCTGCAGAGCTGGGTGCAGGCTCAGTCAGGCCTCAGCTGGCCTCCTGCAGAGCTCTGGAGCTGGGATAGCTTCAGACGTGTACACCGACAAGAGGGCCAGACCACTGGAGGTGACTGCTTTGCAGGGCAGGGGCGGGAGGGTGGAGATTTGGCCAGAGCAGCTCTCCTCAGTCCAGGGCACATCTGGAAGGAGGCTCAGAGGAGCTCACGTTGCCAGTCTCCCTGCAGCTGGGGAACTTGGTGCGTCAGCCCTGGAGGGCCAGCTGGGCCTTTCCCCTCGGAAACCTGCCTCAGCCCCCATCTCCCTGCAGCCTCCCCTGTCCTCTTCAAAGCCAAATTTCCCAAAAGAGTCATCCAACCTTGTTCCCGTCTGTGCTCTTTTTGTTCACTCCTGCACCCCACACCCCATCAGACCCTGGATTTTCCCCCTAAGCCTACCAATGATTCCACATGGGCAGCTGTTGAATAGTTTGGGGTCATCCTTTTGTTGTTTTTAATTTTGCCAGAGAGTGCATGCCCTCACCAGGGAGAGAGAGAGAAGGTGAGA